ATTTAATTTGATAACCAAAGTATGGCTGACCTTTTGACGATGTTTTCACCCCATTTTCTCCTGCCAGTTTTTCTGTAGGGAGGTAGGTCGCAAATCGGAAAGGGTCGCTAATTAGGCACCTTACCCTATGGGCTCATTTACCTGAGGTCCTAGACGATAAACTGACCTGACCTGACTTAAAAAATTGGTTGGTTTCGAAAGATCTGGCTTGAATCAAAGGCATGATATGCCAACTTCCATGACATCTATCTATATCGCAATGGACAGGAGCTGAAAAGTGAAAACTAATGGTCTGTTCCGGTTCCGGTGCCGCAGAATAAGTTACGGACTACATAGAGCTTTCTTATCCCTTGCATCACACCACACTCCTAGTCCTACCTCTGTTTTGTCCATGCCGGCCATGTTTGCTGTCCTGCTAACACTGGCTCATGGTTCGTCCACGGACCGACCCCCTGGTGTGAATCTGGCCTGGCTCATTTGTACGCTGCCAGTCTCACGCCCGACTACAAAGAGCCGAGCCCGAAGCAGTGCGCTGCGGGCCGGCGAACCGTGCAGCGCGGCCGTACCGCCGCCGGCCGCCGTGTCACACCCAGCCGGAGTGGCTGCCCACGGTCCCGGCTGACCCATACTTTGGTCCGACCGGGACCGGACGCTCGGCCCATGGCACACGGCGGAAGGTGCGTCACCCACGACACTCAGTGCAGTGCACAGGGCACACGCCTCGCAGCGTGCCCAAGGCAGAGCACACAACTGCACACACAACGCTCTACATATCTCAATATGATTTATTCGTCGAGTTTAGTAGAGTGGTTCAACCATGGTCAATGCCATAATCTCAATGAGAGTTTAAGAGCACCAACCAGAGGAGAATGTGATCATTTGTTGCTGTCTTTTTACCAGTTGGTGTTTTTGTGACGGCAGTCTTTTTGTCCTATCCAGGCGAGGGTGTTTACCGTTCACCGTTTGTTTCCAAATCTGTATCTACCGTACCGCGTGCAGACGGCCGATCAGCGGTCACACCTCGGGCCGATTGTGGCGGTCCTGTGTTGGCCTGAGTACCCGCTGTTTGGGCCATTAAAGGTGGCGCCCGGACCGTGGGGAGGGCAGCGTGCGACACTGGATGCCACTCGCGGCCGCCCCAGGTTGCTGGCGCAGGAAGGGCACCCGGCACGGGACCTCGGGCGCAATCAGTGCACAAACGCACAGAGTCACCGCCGCGGGGAGCAGAGTTCGGCGGCGCAGTACCGGACCCGCAACATTGACCGCGGTGTTATTTCAAAATATTGCCGTGGAATGACCCGATGACACCATCACTCTTCGTTCAAAATATAAAAGAAATCGATAAAACCGATCAGACGGCGTAAAACGTTTCTCATTCTAATACAAAATGCGTAGCTAAAATGCGTTTGATTTTCTACGAAGGCGTGAAAGTGTTTTTTCTCGTCTTCACGCAAGACTTCATGCATCAAATTTTAGTGCTGTACCGCTATAAGAGCGCATTGTGCGCACCATCATCATTATCCCGCGTATGGTAATGTGCCGATGATTTAAAGAGTTAAGTAGGGTGAATAGGTCAAAAACGCCCCCCTTAAGCGCGAAACCTTCTGACACTCAACCCAACACAGATTACTTAAACCTTTGGGCACCATCATGTAGCTCATTCTTTTTACTACGCTTTGAGACCAAGAAAAGACACCTGCGTGTGGTATTTAACCCCCCAAAAAGGTTTTCGCATACCCTTACAAAAGGGCGTTTTGCCCCATACCCTGGGTAATACGCCCACACCCATGTGCAAAGCGCCCCCACCCCATCCATCAACAGAAAATGATGAACATGGCAGAACTTGACGTCATTCTGACGTCATTTGTGGTCAACCTATCATAGCCTTTGGAATAAAATTTTGTTGCAATGTGTAAAATCGATGCCCGGAGGAGTCCTGAAAGTTTGGTGACGATATCTGCAGTCGTTTAGGATATATCAGCAAAAAAGGGCAGGGAGAGGCCTTTTCGGCCCCGACCTACAGGGCGCTACCCTGCACTCTCACCACCGTGCAAAACGCCCCCCTTTCAGAAAACTGGGGGCGTCTTGCCCCATGCATCGAGTAGGCGTCTTGCCCCATCCACTCCATTTCCGGTCAACAAAATATTGACAAAAAACGCGCCACTAACGCCGCAGCATAATACGTTCAACACAATGACAATAAAACGCAGTTTTGAGTGATGTGCACAATAGCAAGTTTTGTGATATAAAGAGGGCATCAAAATGTTAGGAATCTTCTGTAAAAACAACAAAAACAACACCCAAAACCAACATCAGCACCTACCCACGCTGCTCCTCAAGACGCAGAACCGGAAATAGAGACCTACGTAAACAAGCAGCTGACTGTTCTGAAAGACAGGATAAAACACCTATCCGTCGATAAGAAATACGATTTTTTTAGGGGAGGCGTTTAACCCAGGGGTGCGTCTTCCCCACAGTTACCCTACGTTTTACCATGCTCCGCCTGCCAGGCCGACCGTGGCGAAAGACACTGTCAGCGGGACGCGGTGTGGGCGGGGCTCATCGGTCTACCAGGAGCGCCACGCCCCCTATAGCTCGGCGCCCAGCTGTGAAGTAATCCCACAGCTTAATCCGAAACTGGGACTACTGACTACCTATGGTCTCAGTAACACCCTCTCGGCTAAAAGTTGATTTGGTCCGAGTTTTTTTTTTTTAATGGTGGTAAACACTATGTAATCGGGATCAGCGAACAATCAGTACCTACCTACATAACATCCATGATCACTGGTTCCTTTGGAATAAATAATGCTGTAACCGTTTAGTGTGTTTTTAACGCTTCACCAGGGAATCTGGAAATAGTGAGTTGGATGGGACTCTGTTGAGACCGGCTGTTTGTTTGTTCAGGGTGACCGTCTGTCTGTTTGGCCGGTGTGACGGACTGAGTGCGATGCCCGCTCGGCTCGCTGCTGTAGTTACCGGCCGGTAACCGGTTTAGCCGATTGGTGAGGAGTGGTCCGCTAAAGTCGGCTCGGGCAGGCGGCAGACCGTTCGGGCCGACCGGGGACGGGACGGGCAGCTCCTATCCGGACTGGGCAATCGCCGACAGCTACCAGCCATAGCATGCCAAACAGGGTGATCGCAACGTAAAGGATATGCGGCCGTTAACCCGCCCTGGGCCGAGGATTTTTTTTTTTAACGCTCCCATGAGGTTTTTGGAATATCTCAAAAACGGTGGTGTTGGGCGCCGGCGTTTTCGGCAACCTTTTTTCTGCACATCATCATCTTTTCTGCACACTGTTAACATCAAGCCAAGGTCAAATCAAAGCTGTTCAGGTCACAAACTTGTTCGGAGGATGTCATGTTGCATATCATTCGAAATCGCATATATTTCTGAGATTTTTGTGTCTTTCGCGACTCGTAAGACCAATTTCATCGTAAATTATTGACGATGAAAATCCGATGACCGAGTGACGTCATATATGACGTTACACAAGGTCAACGATGCAAAAGTTAGGTTGGGACCTTGCACGATTAAATCCATGATTTTCATTCGCTTGGACCATAGATAACAGTAGAACAAGCATAGATAAAAGTTCTACCTACTGTTATCTATGCTTGGACCTACATCTATATTAGTAAGTTACGTTCCCATGTGCGTGCATTGTGAAATAGTCTTACATCGTTTTTTTTTGCCCCAAAATAAGCTTCTATATTTCTCACATTGACATATACCTAGACCTACCTAATGGTGAAGTCACGCGACCGACCTGACCTTAGGTGACATTCATGCAAAATCCGAGATATAACTCAAGTTACGATGGCATGGAAGCTTACAAAGTCCTGTAAGTCTGTAAGTTTCATCTCAATGCAAAAGGCTCCCTGACACTGATGGTGTTGCAAAGTTTCAACCTTTTAGGGCCGTGCAGAGGTTCGCTTATGACGTCATAGGTCGGTGACCTGACCTGACCATAAAATTGAGCTGGAGTCACCAAATCCGAGTTGAATCAAAGTTCAGGTGTGTCAGCTTTCAATTATCATGGACAATGCGTTCAGAAAAATCGCGAAAAACGTCTTGTGGGACTTAGTAGCGCCACCCCCTTACGGCTTTCTTGTGATTTCTCGACACACGTTAGCGACAGAATGTTGAAAGCTGACACTCATGATCACCGATTCAAGTCGGATCTTGTAACACCAATACACTCCGAGTACAGGTCATGTTGACCTGACTTCAGAGGTCACCAGCTGACCTGAGACCTTAAAATTTGCTGAGTACCATTCGCTGCGTCTTGTAACCGCGCACACGCTCGTTTTTTATATATATTTTGACGAAGGAAGCTCTACTTAGTGCTTGTGCAAGGAGCATTTGTACTTTAAAATACTTTGTGAATGACCTCTCCTTGATCGAATTGATCTCCTCTCCTTGAATGACCGTGATCGAAAATTTATCATTTCTGTATTTGACTTTTTGTAAAATATATTATATCCTACATACAATTTCAAGGAGAGGTCATTCACAAAGTATTTTGAAGGAAGCTCTAGCTTAATTAGGGGCGAAGCGGCGATGGGTTCCATGGCACCAACCGCCCTCGGCTGATATGTATAAAACCAAATGTTGATATGTCTGGTGAGGTATGAAATCAGGTAATTTATAGGTAGGTAGGCATTTGATTATGTTGGTTGAAATACCTTCCAAGGAAAAATTGTAAAAAAATAGGTAATTATTTTCTTAGGTAGGTTCTGCTATCTTGAAATATAAGAAAGTAAAGTTGGAAATGGACGATACATTGTTCGCTTAAACGTAACGTTTTAATGTTTGGTGTGGCTTTGTTAAGAATATTAGTTGAGTAAATCATTTTATTAAAGTAAACAAATCGTTTAGACGTATTTCCCTCATATTTAGGAGCGCCCACTGCTCAGGTAAGCTGACCGCTGCGTGGGTGGGCCGGCGAGTGCCAGTGCGCGCGCCGCCGGCCCCTCACGCTGAAATAGGGCTCGTCGCCGGCCACCGGTCGCACTCCGCCCCGTGTGTCCGCCTGCCGTCCGCGTCTGCCGCGCCGTCGCCAGCCAGGTAGGAAGCGAACCCTACAGATGAGCCTCAGAGCCGCCGGTCAAACCCTGTCTCCCTCCTGGGCGATGTTTGTTACTGTAGAAGAGAATCGTCCCCTCACCTCAGAACTCTACAGATTCGTTGCGCCGATTATGTGAAGAATGAATTCCTTTGGTTTCATTTTTCCGAATGGGGAAAGGTCCCAGACGGGCCTACTTGTGGAAAAAAACTTGAATAGAAGTCAAGCTGGCTTACCTTGGTGTTTGTGCAAGGCAAATCAATCAGAAATACATCCCTCGCCGCTGAGTAACACAAAAGAAACGGTCAAATTTCATTACAAAGTGATTTTCTTCGAGTTATTTTTCTTTTCGATTTGACCTAATAAAAACAATTAGCACCGTCGCGCTCTAAACTTTAATGACTCGCGGGTGTTGTTACGTCTTGTGATAAGCACAACCTCTTTTCCCACGAAACTCTCAATTTATCTTAGTGACGAACGAACTGGGAAGATGGTATTATAGCACTAAAAGACATGAGTGAATTGCACGCCAATAAAGAACGAAAAACTACAGATTGAGAAAACGTCCAGGGTCTGTTTCCGGTTATATTTAGCGGAGCGTCTGCCAAGCAGAATTGGCCTGCGCTATTGTATTGTATTGTATTGTATTGTATTGAACAATCATCAGCGATCCACATTCTAAAAGTGCGTGGCGCTACGTTACGCACTACGTTACGCTACGTTTGCTTTTTTTGCCAAAACTACGATACCGAATTACGATACGTTATATATTGCTACGTTACTGAATTACGGTATTTGTTAACTAACGCAGCAACTTATTTTATCGTACTACGTTATGCAATATGTCATCATCCACTACCCAGTGGAAACGGTTAGTCTCTACTCTCTAGTAAGCCAAATACTGCGCACAATGATCGCCGGCTTTGCAGCATCGTCGGTGCGGCGGTGCCTACGCGCTACTCGCTAGATGCGCTGGACTTCCGACAGGGAATTCCCTGGGACTCCCCAGTGGGAAATCCCCGGTGTCGGTCCGGCCGGAAGAAAGACTCAGTGGTATTCATATAGCAGGCGTCTCACATCCGTGTAAACGGCCGGAGGTCTGGTGACGATATAAGTAAACTGAAAAAAAAATTATGTACCTTATACAAATACAGCTGACCTGTAATTGCTACGGAATCCATTTCGTAGTTACTATTATTCTATTATTTTCCGTACTACGCTACCGAAACATCCCAATTACGCTACGAAACGGTACTGACAGCTACGGGTTACCGAAAACTTCAAAATAACGTAACGTAGGCCAACTCTGCTGCCAAGTAGTTCGTTCTATACAGTTATGTACCTACGTCTTGCGCTCCCTTATATGGTCGGATGTACAGCACAGTTGGCAGTCCTTTTCCACCTTGCTGGATCAACCATCATCATCATCATCATTCGTCATCAGCTTCATCATCGAATTGCTAAGAACAAGTCTCGAACAGGATATGCAAGGCGGTGCAAAAAGCACTGCGTGCTTATATCCAGGCACCGTTCCCGTCACCCATACAGGCACACTTCAAAAAATCACATACACCAAACAACTCTCTCACACACAACGCGCGCCCACTCCCCCATCCCGCCGACCCAACGTATTTACAGCAGGGTTTTCTCAAATGCGCGGTGGTTGCGTTCCAGGAAATAAGCGCTTCCACAAATATGAATTATGTTTCGAAACGCTCTGAAGATTTTATATAGGTACTTGTGTGCGATCACAATCACGGCCGGACCAGCAGCAGCTTCACGACCAGCCACCATGGCTACGTGGTGGTTGGTTGGTCCATTACACTCTTGTAATTGCATGTTAAAAATAAAAACTCATCTGTATCTAGTTCGGTAACTTATACGTGTCCTTCTACATAGACGGACAGTGTACAGGGAAATCCTATACTCGCTTCCAGGACATACAGAGTCGACAATGCTGCCGTTATTTGACTAGAGGTGACATAGCTGTCATTTTGAACTGAAATACAGAAACCTAAACTAAGGTAGCAATAGCAGAGTTTTTTGGGCTGACACAAACACACGAATCATCATAGTTGTAAACTTAACACCTATTAGAATGTACGTACCAGACTTCACTTTTCAGTTTACCTACAATAGTTTGTAGTCCACTGTAATTGTGAAATCATGCTTCTGCTTAAATCATGTGCTGAAAGATGAATGTTAAAGCATAAAAGGTTGACAGCGAGATGTTGCTAAATATGCTGCAATGCAAGCAGTCATGATTTGAGTCAATATTTGATAAGTTCTGTCTATCGAGGGGCAAATAATTGCTAAATTCCGTCTGGCGAGGGGCAGTGCGTAACGCTTAGTACCATTTACCACCCTTTATGTCTAATAAGGTGTCCCCGACTCCCCAGCACCCAGTGGATCCGCATCGCTTCGTTGCGAGCTTTCGTTTGCCACCTCGTGCACCAAGCGAAATAATAACGTAAACGTTACATCGTGCGGCAGTACATACTTCTTGCAAACACCTAACCCCTCTAATCAAGAAATTATCGGCTGAGCAATGGGCAGTGATCATGTCAAATCAGCTGAGCTTCTTTAAGCACTTCGTGCTCATTTTCCAAATTCGCCACGGTTCAGCGTTCCAACGCTTGGAATAAGAAACGTTGGGCCATATAATCCTGTGAAATTTGTGAGTGAGCTTAGGACGTGATTAGCTTCTTATGGTTTAATTAAGGTCACTCAGTTTAAACGAACGAAACCCGCATGCACATAATTAGGTGGTGAGCGCGCACCATGTTTAGTTTTTAAAATAAGTTTTTGAGCTAAAACGCTCAAGCACATTTGATATCCGTTTGCGCATCTCCCTACAAGTCTCTGACGATACCTATAATTTCTTTCTGTGCATTTTCACAGTTGTTAGCGTTCCTGGTTTAAGTGCCCCTCTTGGCTCTTTGTCATTGAACTAAATCTGCTCTGCACATCAAGAGCTGGGGCATTCCACGATAGATCGTACCAGGCCGGGCCCGTCACCCATCTCTCAGATTTGAATGAAAATTGGTACAAGGGGTAATCATAGGCTCCAAAAACACCTGCCAAAATATCATACTTCTCAGATGAAAACTTTTTGAGTTACATTGCATAATATTTTCTAAACTTCAGACTGTAAGGGTGAGTTTGATGAGCAATAACTCAAAAAACGAGCTAAGCAAGCAACAAACGGTAAACAGCTTTGAACTAACGATGAATCAAAGATTAATACAGTATTTTTAAAATTGGAAAGAAAAGCTTTACATATTGATAAAAGGCGTAGTATATTTTTAAATTGTCTATAATGGCCCTTGGGACCAAAATTTTTGCCATTTTTATTTCTTCACAATAAACCTCAGGTCCTTTAAAATCGACATGCAAAAAATTAGAAAGGTGTTCTTTCTATAAGATCCTCATTTAAATGTATACAAAATGGGTTTCCGGGGGGTCGGTACGACCCCAGCTCGCCGTTTCGCCTCTAATGGAGCTAGAACCTTGCGGAAAAAACGAGCATGTGCGCCGTTCCAAGATGCATCGAATGATATCTTACTTTAACCCGCGCGGGGCTGGGGGGGTAAATTTTACCCCCCTCGCGAATTTTTGCGATATCTCAAAAACGGCGGCGCGCAGCGCCGCCAAACTTTCAGTACCTTTTTTTACATCAATTTGACACGTTCCCTGAAAATTTGAGCGAAATCCGTCGGAAATTTTTTGAGAAATTGACGTTTTAGTGACGTCATGTTCGCCATTTTCGCCTCAAAAACGGCAAAAGTTCAAACGCCGCTAACATCTTCATTTTTAAAGGAATCAAGACGTAACAAAAAAGGTTATACGTAATTTTACTTTGTCTATCAAATGGCTATCTCTGTTTTTTGAAAATTTTGGATTTTGGCCTAAATTTTTTCAAAAACCTGACTTTTTTGGGAAAATCATTATAAAATCCAAAATTTTGAGTCTATCGAAAAAACCGGAATATATGTCAGAGAAGTGGTCTATGTGCACCTACATACCAAATTTTGGAAGAATCGGTTCAAAAATGTGGGAGTTATTCAAAATTTTATGACGTTACGACACACAAAATTTTTGAAAAATGACTTTTTTGAAAGTTCTAGACCTCGTACGGAAGCAAAAATAGCACCATTCGATTCGCCGTGAAAAACTGCATCAGATAGACACCTTTTTAGGCCTTAACAACCAACTTCAAAATTTGACCTCACTTGACCTGACCTTGACCTGACCTCGACCTGAAATTCATCCAGAGGTGGTTCATATCACTTATTGAGTGTGCCTATTGAATTCTATGAGTAAAATGACCCATAAAACATGTGTCGCACATGCCCTTTTCTATATTTTGTTTTTTGGTGACCTGACCTGACCTGACCTTGACCTTGACCTCTGAATGATATTGTATGCAACGAATATTGTCTTGGTAGCCTAAGAACACGTTTTGGGCGATCAGTCTCAGTCCATGACTCCATTCTTCGGCAACTACGGTGCAAGGCCGATACTGTAGAAACTTGCAATTTGTACCCTTGACCTGACCTTGACCTTGACCTCAAACTTTAAATTAAGTACATGTTTTTAGTAGTTCGTGATGAGAGCTTTCGATTGGCGTTTGAATTTTCCAAATCGGACCATTAGTTCGGGAGATAACAGGGGGGGGGGTAAAATTTACCCCCCCCCAGCCCCGCGCGTTCGGCTGGAGACCCCAGCCCCGCGCGGGTTAAGGTCTCGGGTTGATTGGTGACCCATGAGGTCATTTCAAGTGACCCAAATTACGGGTCCGGTTTTTGATAGATAACTTCGCAACAAATGGTCGAAGAGCCGCAATTTTAGCACCTTTGTGTTTGCCTAGCTCCGGCGCGTCGAATGGTATACTGTTTGTTCTGGTGAGGTCAGCTTAAGTCGCTGACCTCGAGTCAGCACACTGCCGTGTATTTGGCTCCGCTCCCCGACCGGGCGGCCCAGCCGGCAGCCAGCCCCCGGG